AGGACGTTATCTGCATTTTGAGAATTTGTATGTATATCGTAGGTACTTGTTTCTGGTGACTCGTTCGAAAATTTTTCCGTAGTTAAAGTCGTTACTACTGCCCATTATCAATATATCGGGTTTCTTGTTATTACCGAGGTTATTTCTAACCTTAACCTTAACCGAGGTGGCAGTTTGATTATTTTTTTGTTTGTCGTTTTTTGACTGCAAGCTTTCCTTGATACTTTCTGGCCAATGCTCATTTTTCTTAAACACATCACTCGTGTAAAACTCTCTTCTTTTTTTTCTTTTCTGGCTTTCATCCTTCATTAGATCTTCAAGTCGCTTTATTTGTCCTCTTTATTCACTAATTTCCTCCAGCGTATTTATGGACAAATCCACAACATTTGTATTTGTTTCTTCTCTAATTTCCGCAAAGAAACAACCTGGGGAGCTCCGGATTGGAAAAGGTACATACCGTATCAGTATCACCAGAGGTTCGCAATGTCGGATTGTCTTACGAATTCTCTCGCGTATCTCTGATTGTCTCCTAGTTCAATCCTCACAAGATTGATATCTATAGATTTCGCGTCAATTTCAGCCTACATTCTTTGATTCTGCAGTTCTTTTTCTTTTAGTGATTCTAATAGTTCCTTATCGGCGTACTGCTGCAACCGTTCTCTTGCCTCTCTCAGATTGTTTTCCATTTGTTTATGATTATCATATGTTTTATATTCTTTTTATACTTCGTAACAGTATTGCCATCTATCCATAATAAAATGAGCATAAAAATGCAAATATCTGTTACTAATAATAGTTATTTATGTATCAAGGGAATTATGAGGGTGTTAATACCCCAGGGCAAAGTTTGTGTCCCGAGGGCCCTCGGCTTGCCCGTGGGTATTAACACCTGATAATTCCCGTGGTACATAGATAATTTTATTTCCTACTGAATTTACTGTATTTTGTCCATTTTTATAAGGAAATAAACCATAAACCAAAATATCTATTTTTTGTCAAAGTTTCACCTCACCTATTCAAGGTAAAAGCGGGAGTCATGGAAATCCTTAACTCCCTTGGGAGTTAAGACCCTGTTTATGATTATCGTAACCAAGCAGGTATTATATGGTTATAATAGTTCAGTAGGAAATAAAAGTACTAACGTACCGCCATCTAGTAGGTACTACCTAAAAATTTTATTTTAAAATTGTGGTAGGTTTCAAGTTAGAAATAATCATTCCAGAATCAGAAGTTCTAGAAAGACAGAAATATATAGTGTGTTTTTATTCATTCACATTTAATCATCGTGGTGTCTCAATAATGAAGTGAACACGGTATCTTTGTGTGTGTTGAATTCTGAATTCTGATTGGTCGAATCGTCACAATGCAGTTAAGTATAAAAAAACAAGACTGGTTTTCCTAAAGGAAATTTAGTTCTAAAAAGGCCTCTCCTCTGGCAGGCTGTTGAACAGGCAAGTCGATTTCCATTTTGTTTTTTTTTTCTTCAGATTTCTATAGATCTTCTTCCCTTAATATTTTTTAAATTTATTTTACCAACAGTGTCTTCTATCACTGTTGATGGGTTTTTATTACCTGATGTCTTTCTTCCTTTGAAATATAAATATTATATTTTAATTTTTTATCTATTGTGGAAGGAACCTCCATTGCACCACATTTTTCTGAGGAGAGTCAATTCAAAGCTTTGGCAAATGAAGGTGTTGCTTTGGTATTTAGATTTAATTGTTGGTGTTGGATTATTGGACCATTTTCTCTAAATAGAGCAGGCGTAAACCAAATTTGTGTGTGCATCCCTATCAACACTATACCAAATCCAGGCAGAAACCTTTCTAGCCATTTATTGTATGACTCCCTCATTGTCTTCTCAAGAAGGAGAGTGCCGAAAGGGTGGAAGTTTTAGGATAGAAGTCAGGCATAGGAAAAAAAATCATTTAAAAAGTTTTAATTAAAACATCTCAAGAATTTTGACAGTTCCTTGGATTTAATTTATTTCACCCTATGCTTTATCTTGTAATACCAATAGGTCTAACTTAACTTGTTTCATTTTTCCTAATTTTTTTTAGAAATGTTTGCCTGTTCAGCGCGACTGCTCGAGAACCAGCATTCTGCTCTATTATACCAAGCATTTATTTTTATCTTCGATCTCGATGTACTTTTAATTATTGATACTTTATTTTTTATTATTTTTTTGTTTTTTATGTAATTGTTTTTCTATATTATAAAAGAAAATTTCCAATTTGCAATAGTTGCTAATACCTGATTCTGTTAGAAGGGATCGTCTGCACAACAATAGTTTTATATTTAACTACTTTCATTTCAATTTTTCTCTACAAGATACTCGCTTTTTAACAGAATTCAGGAATTTAATATTCCAAGATTTGGTGAACCTGGATACTGTAAATTCTTTTCTGGGTACCCATTTCACAAGATGTGACGTCACATCAGCAATCTATCCTCTTTCCTGAATATAGGAAACAATCTGGAAACCTCCAGATTGGAAAAGGTATAGGATTTTTAATACCCATTTAGAATAACCCCATCCTTATTCATCAATCGCGAATCGGATGAAACAAAAAATTACCAACAAAAACGAACGTCGATTGCTAATACGTCAATTTCATGTACAAATACCTAATTTTATTTGTGTGTTCAAGAAGCGACAGACGTTTTGTCACTAGAACGACTGGTACTTCTAAATAGGTATTAAAAATAGTATACATACCGTATCAGTGTCACCAAAACAACCAAACTGTTAACTTTCAAATTTCAAAAAAAAAACAACTTGTTACTTACATTGTTATTTCCGAGGTTATTTCATATTTACAAATACTAAATAAAATAATTATTGTTTGTTGGAATTTGAGTGGTTTCATTTGCACCTAAAGGGGCTACACATCTTATTTATTTTTGAACTTCACGACCCTTCGGTTCTCTTGCTTTAAATAACGAATAATTATATTTATTTGTGACAAGATTTACACCATCTCACTAATAATGCATCCCTGGACTGCTTAATCGATGCTTTAGCAAAAATATTTCCTACCAAAACCTCACACAGAAGATATAATTTCATCTAATGAAGAATCCTAAACACGAAATATCGACTGATATCATTGATAAGTTTTTATTGTGAAGATTGAGCAATCATGAAAGAGAAATTTATAATTTTTTTGGAATTAAATACTAAATAGTCTCCAAATTATATTACTTTCGAATTTTCTGGAGATATATCGATATCCAAACTTATTAGGCTCATCAGATAACTCCTGTTTCACATCTCTATAAGAAAGTGTCTTTCTATTCTATATTCTATCTATTTCACTCGTTATTTGGCACTCAAAAAAACGGAATATGTTTTTTTGCAAACCTCAACAACATGCTCGCGGTAAAAATACAAACATTGTGCAAACAGATTCCATAACCGGGCCACTGGTGCCTCTCAGGCTTCAATATAAACTCCTGAATCATAATATAGAATCCGCCAATCAGACAACCGAAACTGATCATCAGCCAAAAAAACAAGTGCGTCCTGGCTACGCCTCTTGAATAGGGATGCTGGTAGGTGTAACTTTCGTAGATGCAATGAGCAGGAACTATATTGGTACAAATGAATGCCAGGGTCCCAATGGCGCCTGGTATGTAGTAAACTGTGTGTTCCACGAGGATTTTCTGCAATTCTATGTCGGCCAATATCCACCAACCGCTGAAGAGCAAAAGACTGGACAGACCCGAGACGATTAGGTTGAATTGTAAATCGTTCAGGGCGCATGGGCCGGAGGATACGTTTATCATATTTTTTTTTTGCAGTAATTTTGATTCGAATTTGACAAATATGAAGTGCCACCACCAACGAACGGTCTATGACATAAATTTTATTATTTACTGGTATGATAGCTTGTTCTTGGAGAAGATAGTTCCAAAGAATAATTGACTTAATTCCTGTAATGTCTCCAGTTGGGGTTCAAGCTTGTTTAACATTTTTTACTTCCCAGTCTCAGCCCAGGACTCCATGAAACCGTATACCCCATTCTTCTTCATCTTCTGGTGGTTTTCTGCACATGCCAAATGCGTACTCTCCTCTAAGAAGATGTCTGGAATCTGGAATATAAATTTGCATCGTGCTTGCAACGCAACTGTTGAGGGAGCCAGATCGTGCTTGATTCCTTGTATTTCAAATGAAGGCGCGTAATAACGTTTTTAAAAAAATAGAATTCTTCTGCAATTCGCTGCACCACCTTCCAACATTCCAATAGTTTATTATTTACTGCAATTAATTAATTCTCTCCCAGGGGAAACCATAGACAAGTAAGTAAGTATTGCTTCATTTTTCCTTGAGATCCCGTCTTGGGTCCTTTCCTCGAAGCACAGTGACACATCTATTGCATCAAAATTCAATTGACTCCAAAGTTCCTATCACTCCCGACTACTCTGCGCCAGGGTCTATGGCAATATATCTACAAGGCTTTTCCCATCCAGACTCTACCATTTAAATTTGAAAATTGTAATTATCATCTCGCAGGCACAACCTAATCCCATTAATAGAGCAGTATCCCTCTACCGTTCCACCGAAACTGGAAACTAATTTAGCAACCAATGCAACATAGAATATTCGATTTTACCTATAGGAACTTCATTTCCATAGAGGAAACTGTGGTGATGCTTAATGGATTGTACGTTATTGACAGACACTTTTTCGAATTTAAGAGAAAACAGCTCCTATATCCATTCATAACTGCAGAGCCCTAAAAAGCCTCATATTTCATGAATCTGCTTTGGTCTGTGCCAATCTGGACCTGTTTCTGTTCCTCTTGATGTCCAAGGAAGTTCATATTAGTTATAATAGGATCTTAGGATTCAACTGTAAGTTGGCACTTTAATTATAATTTATAATAATTAAAATCTGAAAAGATAACAGCATTTTTATTTGTTTATAAGTTTTATAATAAGTAGGTACAAATCATTTATAATCTTAACAACTAATTGAAACATGGCCTTGATGCAATAGTAAAGTTTGGTTGAGTATTTATTTTCAGATAGCAGGAAGCTGATGATTTTAGTGGTGTCAAACAGTGAAACAGCTTGTTAAAACGTAAACAATGGGACGTTTTAAGGTTTTGATTGCCAATCCTTTAGTACCCAGGATTGCAAATGAACTGTTGTCACAAACGTAAGTATAATATAAATAGTCCAAAGATAAATATATTCAACTCCCAACTGTGTTATTACATTTACAATAATAGGTGTTGTTACATAATAAATTATTGTGAACCTGTTTCTGGTATGTTTTACCTAAGCCTTATGACTGGGAACTATTATTATTATTATCATTGTGAATAAATGAACTTATCTCTCAACTTAAAATATAATGTAATTCATTGAATACAGTTTATTACTATCCATACTTCGTTACAATAATGTTATATGGTGGCGTGGGAGCAGAAATGAGTGAATAATTTTGTATAATAGAAGTTCATTGAAATAGCAAATTTGCAAAGCCCGTGATATTGAAAGAGTTAAGGTAAATTAACAAGGAGTTATATTATATTGTTACATATCTTGAATGATTATAAACTAGAAAATAAATTATCCCTCACTGAAAAAAAAAATGATGATCTTACCTGTAGGAGTACTTTCGGATAAACTTACGAATTATTTCATTCTTCTTCAAGTACCATGTTCTCTTCGAACGTTGGCTATCATCAGCGCAATTTGCACCTCGTCCACTACTTTTCTGAAAAGTGTTGTTGTGCTAACACCATATCATTAACTAAGATTTTTTAGCCAGGAAGCCATGATATTCGTCTACGGCTTGGTCCTCTTCTTCCTCAAATTTTTGCCTCTTTTATCAGTTTAAGGAGTTCATATTTGTCATTTCTTAAAATGTGTCCAAAATATTCAAGTTTACGTTTTTTGATGGTGAATAAAACTTCAAGCAAGCTCCTTATCTATTCTAAGAAGAACATCCACGTTACCATACTCTTTCCATTCATTCTGAGCATTCTATGATAGCATCACATCTCAAATGCTTCCAATTTTTTGCTCATGGCATCAGTTAATGTCCACGCCTCTATACCGTAATATAAAATGCTACACACCGACACATCCCGAGAACGTTGAGCCCATACCTTAACAACCTCTCTAGTACCAAACCCTCCACGAAATCCAAACTGTGTGTCTCCCATGAACGATTCGCACTTTCCGTATATTCTTTTATGGATATTCTTTAAAAATATTTTCAGCATATGACTCATTAGGCTGATTAAACGGTAATCCCTACACTTCTTTGCTGAGTGCTTTTTAGGCAGTGTAACAAAGGCTGATTTCATCCAGTCAACTGGAATTTACCGCTGCGATAAATCAAGTTGAATAGTTTGACCAGCGTATTTAACGAATCTTCGTTCTTTAGAAGTTTCAAAACCTCCGTGTATACTTCGTCTTGCCCTACCGCTTTTCTGGTTTTAGCCAAAGATATTGCGTGCTGAATTTCTTCATTTGTAATATCTATGCCTTGGATTGAGAATTTCTCTGGATGTTCGTACCCGGACCGATTATCGCTAAAAAGATTTTCTATGTATTAGTTACACCATTATTTCATTCCATAAGTATAAAAATGAAACGTAGTAGGTACCGGGTGATTGTCTATATATTTTGCAGCCACACTTACACTGCCTCACTTAAGTTTGCAATGAAGTTATTTACAAGTATACAGGGTGTGTTGCAAAAGTGTGGCAAAGCAAAGTTATACTTTTTCAAATAGAATACCCCGTAGGTATATTATTGACTCATGATTAGCCTTTCAAACCTGATTCCAATAATATACTAGGTTTTTTAGATTTATTCCTCATAGTCCAGTCTCTGAATTAGTGAATATCCTATTTTGAAGAAATAATATTGATTTTTACTCGAATGATTACCTTAATATGTTGCTGGTAGCTCTCTATACTTCACCTACTTCAATAAAAATGCAATTATTCCACCCGTTTTTTTCTTATTTTTTCCCAGCCTATTAGGAATAAACCTAAAAAAATCCAATGGGCCAATAATATCAGGGTGTTCCATTCAAAAAAGCTCAAGATGCTGTGATATAGGCATGGATGCAAAATAAAAACAATCACCCAGTACCTATGTACAGGGTGTCCGAATTTGGATGGTTTTAATAGGAAACGTCAATTTCTGAGCGAGATACAAAAAAATGAACCCCCCACTCCGAGGCTCAAGTTTCTTGAAATTTTGATTGGTGCAAACCGCATTTTGATATCTTCAACCGTTTAGCCGCTAGAGGGCGATTCTCGATTTTGAGCAATACTGTGAAATCTTCATAACTTTTTTGTTTATGAAAATAACTGATTTCCGTAAAAACTTCCTAGAAGCACTTTTTCAAGCAGAATTCAGTGACGTTTTCAGTTTTTTTCTATTCGGCCTCGATTTCAAGTTATTGACCAAAATACGATTTTTTTCAATGGGACACCCTATATATTAATAGTTCATTAGAAATCTCTGCTTTTGCTGATTTCAATGATACAAATTTCGATAGGTTTATCTCTAACAGTTTTCGAGAAAAAAAATATTTCGGCTTTTGTCATAAGAAACAATGAGTTAGAAAGAGACCTTTCTCAGTTTCCTTACAGATATAAAGTCCTTTTCTTACACATTGCTTCTTATGACAAAAACCGAAATAATTTTTTTTCTCGATAACTACCTATTAGAGATAAACCTATCGAACTTTTATCATTGAAATCAGAAAAAGCCGAGCTTTCTAATGAGCTATTAATATATAGAGTGTCCTATTGAAAAAAACCAGACTTTGGTCAATATCTCGGAGTTGGGACCAACTAGAAAAAAACTGAGAACGTCACTGAATTCTGCTTTAAAAAGTGCTTCTAGAAAGTTTTTACGGAAATCAATAATTTTCATAAACAAAAAAGTTATGATGGTTTCACATTATTGCTCAAAATCGAGAATCGCCCTCTAGCGGCTAAACGGTTAAATATATCAAAATGCGGTTTGCACCAATCAAAATTTCAAGAAATTTGAGCTTCGGAGTGGGGTGTTCATTTTTTTGTATATTGCTCAGAAATTGATGTTTCCTATTAAAACCATCCAAATTCGGACACCCTGTACTTACTAAGTTTTTATTTTTCAATCAAACAGAAAACCAAAAGGGTCTTAAGGATCCTGTATCTTACACTTGTCCATGGTATTATTTTATCTTATGCTTCGACAGTCGACAGTATGGACTTCTCATTACTTAAGTCACATCTTCAACCTTTAAAGGGTTCAGAACAGGGTTCTTAAAACTTGTACTTGGGAACTAGACTTGCAAAATATATCACTGGTGGGCTGAGATCGAGGTTGAACCTCAGAATTTATTGATTAAGCATAAAATTGTATGTGGCATAATAAATGATATTCTTCGGGAGAAATTGCTTGGGACGAGGAATCTCGATTTATTTAAATGCAGGGTAGATGGAAGGATCACTAAAACAAGATAGAACTACCTACGTCTGGTACTTCATTAAATAGTAATTTATGGGATTGACTGGTTTAATATCAAGCTGCAAATCCAACCTTCGAAAACTATTTACCAAATGACAAAACATTTTACCTATTGTTGCAATGTCATTGGTTGCAATATGCTTCCCATGATATTAGCAACTGTTCAAGGAAAATGCAACAACCGAAATCATTTTTCTTCTTGTTGCAACGTAAACAAATTTTATGAAGTTAAGGAGGAAACTGGGAAGAGCATAGATATCAAAAACATGAGAAACAAAATTATGAAGAGGTGTTAGCACTGGCCACTGGCTAGTAATTTGAAAAGAAATTTTAAGAAATTTGAAGGAAAATCTCCCAAAAACTGAATATAGAACGTGTAGATGAGAAAGACTATTTGTAGAATTTGAGCTAGATTCTGGGAGTGAAGCTCATATATTACTTAAATACCTAATTATGTTTAACAAGAGATTCATACATAGAAAATCTGAAGAAAGACAGAAATTCTTCTCTATAAATAGAAGAAAAGGCAACGGTTGCATCAAAAACCAATGTGAAATTAGACTTCCTCTGGCATTGCAAGAGACACAGAGAACAACATTGGAAAAAGCAACAGAATGGTTGAATGCGCTTGTTGTAACCGAGAATAAAAATGAGTCAGTTCGTTTATGTCTGGACCCAAGACCTCTAAACAAGTACCTACCTATTTCATACGACAAAGACTTGAACTGCTTTACTATATTTTCCCCAATTGGCCAGCAAAATGGTTTTCAGTGCTATGGATAGGCTTGATTAATGTGTGTTTTGGCAGATACCTATAAGATGAAGATAGTTCAGACTTATGTTCTTTATAATTCCTTTTGGGTGATTGCAGAGTTTCGTGGGAATAATTATAGCATTTTAATTAAAAATGTTTCAGAAGAAACTACTAACTGCTCCACATAGATTATTTTTAAAAAAAAGCAATACATTTTAAACTTGCGACGATAACTGCCCACAAGAAAAAGCATTTATCCGATTGAAACAATTTAATTAGTAAGGAATGCTTCAGTTTTGAGTTAAGTATTACGACCCATCTCAACCAATAATTTGTTTACAACTGACCAGCAAAGCAAAAATAAATTATTGGAGGACTATATGATGTGCACTTTTAGTCTCGCATCAGGAAGAGAATCAGAACATTGAAAGTTAGGCAAAAAGTTGCGATTTTGTGTGCGAATGGTAAGAGTCAGATTGGTTGTCGGCGTAAGTGATTAACAGTTACCTCTACAAGCCAGATTCATCCGGAAGCCAGACCTGAACACTAGAAAGATTCTGGATTAATGCAAGTCATTTGAGAGCCACTGAATTGCAGTAATTAAGTAACACTTGGCAATACTTAATCCCGAGGAAGAAATTAAGTCCAAAAAAAATTATAAAAAATTTAAATGCTCTAAATGTCTCTACAAACACTTTCAAAAACAACTAGCATTCCACAAGACCTATGCTGCATGCCAGGGAGTTGGCCATTTTGCATGCAAAGCTTTAAAAAGTGAAGAAGATCCTCACAAAGTGGTTACACTACGAAGAAAAAGGTGCGAGAAGTCAAATATGAAGAAGCATCTGATTCTGATGGAGAGATAGTTTTAATTCCTCATCTTCGGTGCTATTGCCCGTACCGTCAAGTCCGACAGA